TGGGGGGAAGAGAATCAGTGTCTTTTTTTTTTTTTTTTGCGGTACGTGGGCCTCTCACCGTTGTGGCCTCTCCAGTTGCGGAGCACAGCCTCCGGACGTGCAGGCTCAGCGGCCATGGCTCACGGGCCCAGGCGTTCCGCGGCACGTGTTCCCTTCCCGGACCGGGGCACGAACCCGTGTCCCCTGCATCAGCAGGTGGACTCTCAACCACTGAGCCACCAGGGAAGCCCTACTTTTCTTTTTTTTGTGGGGGTAGGGTAGGGTGGCTTGTGCTGGTGGTGTTATTTTTCATAAAGACACAAACTTCACAAGAGTAAGAGGTGGTAACACTGGCGCGGGGAAGAGCAGCTGTTGGGTCCCTCGCTAGAGCTTCACGTTGGAGCCTTGGCAAGGATACAGCTCATGACATCATGGCTCTTGAGGACGGTCCACTAGTTGCCAAAGCCTTGAGTGCCCGTTTGGATTTAATTTTGAAAAACTTTCTGCTTTCAACCCTCACTCCTGCAGTAGTAGCTGTGTGCTCAGAGCTCCTTTAGTTCCTGGAAATACAGTCTCAAGAAAATTTGGCAGAGTCTCTGCCCTCCGGAGCGCTAGTCTGTTGGAGAACCAGACTTTCATCGGATACACACAAATAAATGTAAACTTACAGACCTGACAAATGCCAGGAAGGAGTGGATGGACTCGGTGCTCCTGGCTAAGGGGAGAACTCCTGGCTCAGGGGGGCTCGAAGGGGCACTGGTGTTGCCTCGCTGAGGCCGTGGACGAGCCCCAGGCTGGGCAGTGCGAGAGTGCAGGCCAGGCTGCCGTCAAAGGAATGACAAGGCCGAGCGGGGTGGCCCTTGCACAGGTAGGGCCTGTGAAGTTGTGTAAGGCCCTTATCTTAAAGGCCCTGGGAAGCACTGAATTGTTTCAAGTGGGGTGGGGTTGGGAGAGGTCAGGTCAGCTTGGGGTGATGCTATCAGATCTGCTTTTCAAAAAGCTCACTCTGGCTGCCATGTGGAAAATGAGTTTCTGGGGTTTGACAACAGATCTTTTATCGGAAGAATTGATTGCCTGGTGACTGTGGCAGCAGGTTGCAGAAGGACATCACTTGTGACATAAAGAGGCAGTTGCGGGGGTGTGCAGCAGCAGGGGACACGGCCCCGGGCCCGGGGTCTCCTGCATGGGTGGGCGCTGCCGGTGTGGCCCCAAGTGCTCGGCTGTGGCCTGCGCTGAGAAGCCCGGCTATTGTTCATGCCACAAGAAGCATTTTTCTTCTTTTGATAACACTTCATGCCTGAATGCCATCTGCTTGCAAGGGTGCATACAAATACGGTCTCCCCTGGCTAACCCACCAGCTAAGAGAGAAGTGTTTTACACCCAAGAGAG